GTCAGATATCATTTATACTTGTCCCATCTATGCCTCGTCCACACTGTGCCTCGACCCCACTGTGCTACCGTTTTTTTATGTGTTAATACTTATTTTTTAATAAAAATGAATAATATGAAAACTTAGAAGTGATAGAAAACGTCTAAATGAAAACATCTCCAAAAGTTGATTTAGAAAAGTATATTTTTTGTTTCTGATGAAAGTTCCTTGTAGTCCAGTGTATAGAACTTATAATTTTGTTATAAGTAACATTTTTTATTGAAAGGTATTGCATCAAGCCCCATAAATTTTTATATGCGTTAAATGTAAAGAAAAATACAACTACTTTATTATTTTTATAATATCTCCGTAAATATTACAATATTAAATTATTGAATATCAATTGACTATTAAATAAATTTATATATTATAATTAAAAATCAAATAACTAATCAGAATAAAATTTAGGGAAAAAGAGTTGCTTTTGTAATCATCCACCAATTTCTAGAATTAAACCCAACAACAGATTTGCATCGAAGCCTTTCTTATGATAGTGATTTTAATTTATAATGTAAACGAGAGGATGGTTAGATCCCTTCCTTTAAGACAATACCGTTTTAGTTAAAATATAAGCATAAGAAATTCAAACTTCAATTCAACTAATTCTAACTTCAAGTACTATTTATGCATAGAATACAAATAGTCAATACAATTTTTTTTTCACATAAAGTGCGTAATATAACATTGAACATAATTTATACTATATTTATAATAAATAAAATAACATTGAAAAAACACATTTTATTAAATTAAAAATGTGCTTATATCAATTATGATTTGGCCCTTTTTTTACATGTATATGAATAGTTTGACTAAAATAATTAAGTAAATAATGTTTTTAAACTGAAGAATTTTATAAAATAATAAATCATGTCAGATAGTTTTATATATATGTATATACTTATAAAATAAAAAACCCAGCACAGGGGGGTCGCGGCACAGTGGTGACATGGCGTAGATGGATCAAGTATAATGATATCTGACAGTGATTAAAATCACTATCATAAAAAACGCTTCAATGCAAATCTTTAGATAGTGTTTAATTTTAAAAAATTGGTGGATTATTCCAAAAGCTACATGATCTGCTAGTTCATTCTAATATCCTAATTAAGATAAAGTATATCGAATGAAAAAGGGATTATTAAAAAATAGTATTTCCCATAAAAAAATTATATTGATCAATACACTTTTCAATAAGTTATAGCTTTATAAAGTTAAAAATGTAAAAAATAAAATTGAGAATTTTCACNAAATGTAAAAAATAAAATTACATTAGTAAAAGATTACATTAGCTTTAATTTAATATATATAGAAAAGTGTCAGACTTTCCGGAACACTTTCAAAATTTAAGTTGAAAAAGTGAATTTTTTGTGAAAAAGTTGTCATTTTGAATCGCCCCCTGTAGGCAGATAAAAAGTCAGATTTATAAAAAAAATATACCAAATGATAGGTAAAGACATCATGCATCTACAAAAAAAAATTATATTGATCCATAAATCTTTCAAAAAGTTATAGCATCGTAAAGTTAAAAATATAAAAAAGAATTTTTTTATAAAAATCGTATTTTTTTTATTAACTTTGATGTCTATTTTCACCGTTAAGATAAGATAAAGTCCGAAATTTTTTTTTTTCATGATAAAGCATATTACATTAGCTGTAATTTAAGATATATATAATTTTTTTCAATTTTTAAGGGTAATGTCTTCGACTAGATACAATTCGTGATCTTTTGACGTATCGTTGAAAGAAATCCGTTCGGTGAGAGCTGAGAAAAAGTGGTAATAGACACAAAAAAAAAAAAAAACACATCTTAGTAAAACCAATACCTTCTCAGCTTCGCATCGAAGCTAAAAAATTTACATTAGCTATTCAGAATATAATATTTAAGTAAAATTAAGAGGTGTAAAATGGAGGTGAGTTAACCGCATAATATGAAATACTTTATTGAAATCTAAAAAATAATTTTATTTTATTCTAGAACTGGCAATTGATATATTTTTTTATGATAATTTCATGTTTGATATTTAACGAAGGTAAATTTGATTTTATATTATTTATGTTTATTAATAGTCAATTATAGTTTATTAAATAAATTTCTTAACTTGTATCTAATATCTGAAACATTTAAATAATTTTATGTGGAATTACCGGCATAGGAGGGTACCTAAATCATTACCCAATTTTGAAATCTTAATTTTTTAATTACTAAATCATTTTAACAAGTGTTAACTAATTATATTATTTAAAAACATTATATTGGGCTATCTTATCATATTATGGTTATAAAATAGTAAAATAAATCTGCTCTCGCTGGCAACGGCAAGCGGTTTCCGGCATGATCTTCAGGCGTCAAAAACTGAACAGCGTTGATTGTCAATGGAGCGCAGGTGTTGATAGGTTCATCGAGTCTGGTCGTGCGATACGTTCAGAGCTGGTGGCGTACATCCTCGACGTTGTAACTTAGACAACGTGAAGAAGACTTAACATATCAATTGTGGTGGGTCATAGTAGGTCGTGTGGTACTCGCTGGATATAACACCGTGGCGAATGGCACGTAGTTTTGGTCAGTCAAATACTCATAGAAAGGTGACGACTAATAAAGGTGGCACAAGTCGTGAGTCATCATGTATAACGAAGCGACAGGGGGCTGTATCAAAGTATATTTTGATGATAACTTCATAAATAATTTTAGTATTTATCAAGATAGCAATATGTTTTATGTAATAATATTAGTATTGCTACCAATAATCTCTTTTAAGCCATTCAACATAACAACGATATCCGAATAATATTGAAAAGTAATTACATGAATAATACTACTTTGTTATATAACAGAGTAGTATTTTGTTATATTCAATAAATAAATACTAATATTATACAAAATAATTCTACTATCGTGAATTATTATATTGGATAACCTCAATATATAAAATAATATTGTAAGAGTATCTTTTTTTTTATAATTGAAATTTTTTGAATTTTATTATATTTCCAAAATAAACTATTTTGTTAATTAGCAACATATACAAACAAAATATTTATAACTAAAGAAAATAGAGAAAGGCTAAAATTCAAGCATCCTATACACTTGATTACATAATTTTAAGTAATCTAATTAAATTTGAATATAATAATAATAATTCAATTATAATACTCATTTAGGTACTTAAAATAAAGATTTGAGTGAAAAAAAAATATGCCCATTTGAAAACGGTACCACAGAAAAAGCTGCTAGAATTGGTGACATTAAAACATGCTTACGAAAGTCGTTGTGAATGGGATGAAAATACNATTAAAACTAGCTTACGAAAGTCGTTGTGAATGGGATGAAAATACGACTACTGAAGCTGCTGCAAATGGACATTTCGAATGTTTAAAATATGCACATGAAAAAGAATGCTCATGGAATGAAATGACAACGATATATGCTGAAACAAATGGACACTTTGAATGTTTAAAATATACACATGAAAATGGATGTCCATGAGATGTAAGGATAACGCTACATGCTGCATAAAATGGGCAATTAGAATGTTTAAAATATGCCCATAAAAATGGATATCCATGGCCTGAAAGAACAACAAAAGTAGCTGCAAGTTATGGTGACTTAGAATTTTTAAAATATGCTCATGAAAACGGTTGCAAATGGGATGAAGGTACAATACTTACAGCAGTCATGATTGGTAATTTAGAAATTTTAAAATATGCACATAAAAATGGCTGTCAAAGGGATAGCGGCATACTTACTGTAGTTATTAAAGGAGGTACTTTAGAAATTTTAAAATATCTACTTGAAAATGGATGTCCGTGTGATGAAAATACAACACAAGCTGCTGCCAGTTATGGTAATTTAGAAATCTTAAAATATGCATTTGAAAACGATTGCAAACGGTATGAAGTTAAAATAGTAACAGCAGCTATGAATGGTAATTTTGAAATTTTAAAATATGCACATGAAAATGGCTGTCCATGGGATTATGACACAATTAGAGTTTCTGCAGCATATAACATGGATATAATTGGACTGAAGGTACGATGAGAGGCGCTGCTGCCAATCGACAATTAGAATGTATCAAATATGCCTATGAAAATGGTTGTAAATGGGATGAGGGTACAACAAGGGAAGCTGTTGCAAGTGGTTGTATTGAATGTCTGAAATTTGCTCATAAATATGGATGTAATTGGGATGAAGGCATCACAAGGCTTGCTGCTGCAAATGGTCAGTTTCGTTGTTTAAAATATGCCCATGAACATAATTGTCCATGGAGTATAAATACCATTCATGAAGCTACTCAAAGAGATTATATTGAGATAATCGACTATGCTAACGAAAATGGCTATATTAGTTAGATTAATTATAAAATATTATTTATATTTTATATTCCATTACATTATATTTTAAATAAATCGTTATGAGCTAAAATGATTATAATTATATTGAGAGTATTAATGTAATTTTACTTGCTTAATAAATTATATTTTTTAAATTATAACCAAAATACTTAATAATAAATGTCCGAATTTTCCAATCATGTAATTAATATTTAATATACAACAAATATAAAAGAAAATGTTTATAAGTAGTGACAAAAATGTTACATTTCTATACAAACTTTTATAATTTATTTATAAACAACAATAAATATGTATAAAATTAATAAGTATATTAAAAATTGACTCAAATTACGTCGAAAAAATATGGTCGATATTGGTTTTGAGGGTAGAGACCCGTGGGCCGTTTATGATGAGCTGGCGTCGACGATGTGATATACAGCGTGGTCCTAGGGCATCAAAAGGTTAGCAGCGATGATGGCGTCGTTGTGCGGGTGTTGATCAGTACTTCGACGTTACGGATTATACGGATAATTCTAAAATGCTCTTACATTTAATTTTTTATGCAATACAGTATAAAAATGTATAGATAAAAATCGTATTTATTATTTATATAAGGTCAAATTGTGTAAAGACATACTTTATAAATTAACGCTACTCAAAGAGATTATATTGAGATAATCGACTATGCTAACGAAAATGGCTATATTAGTTAGATTAATTATAAAATATTATTTATATTTTATATTCCATTACATTATATTTTAAATAAATCGTTATGAGCTAAAATGATTATAATTATATTGAGAGTATTAATGTAATTTTACTTGCTTAATAAATTATATTTTTTAAATTATAACCAAAATACTTAATAATAAATGTCCGAATTTTCCAATCATGTAATTAATATTTAATATACAACAAATATAAAAGAAAATGTTTATAAGTAGTGACAAAAATGTTACATTTCTATACAAACTTTTATAATTTATTTATAAACAACAATAAATATGTATAAAATTAATAAGTATATTAAAAATTGACTCAAATTACGTCGAAAAAATATGGTCGATATTGGTTTTGAGGGTAGAGACCCGTGGGCCGTTTATGATGAGCTGGCGTCGACGATGTGATATACAGCGTGGTCCTAGGGCATCAAAAGGTTAGCACCGATGATGGCGTCGTTGTGCGGGTGTTGATCAGTACTTCGACGTTACGGATTATACGGATAATTCTAAAATGCTCTTACATTTAATTTTTTATGCAATACAGTATAAAAATGTATAGATAAAAATCGTATTTATTATTTATATAAGGTCAAATTGCATAAAGACATTTTTTATAAATTATCAATAAATGTAGCAATTTTTAGAAAAAAAAATGTCGAAATTAACCGTTTTAATCGTAATTTTTTAGTGGGTTTCACTATTTACAGAGAACGAGTGCAAAATTTTTAAGAGTAATTTCTTCAACTAGAAACGAATTGTGATCTTTGACATATTGTTGAGAAAAATCAGTTCAGTGAGAACTGAAAAAAAATAGTGACAGACACAAAAAAAAAAATAATAATAAACACATTATGTTAAAATTTATATTTTCTCAGCATTGCATCTTAAAATGTTTCATTTTTTTAAATTTTTGCCTCCCAGTAAGTTTTTAAATCAAGTATTGCTCATACTTATTTTAAAAGTATGAAATAATAACGTCAATGTATTTTAAAATAAATATATTAATATCAAATGTATGTCTTCTTTAAATAAATCTGTTGTTACAAGACAAGTGTTAAAGCTATAATAGAGATTGAGTATTAGGTCTCAAAATTAAAATTATAATTTATCATGTAAAAGAGAAGAAGTTTAAATAGGGTACGTTTCCCTTCCTTTTAGACAATACCGTTTTAGTTATAGCATAAAAAATTATAGTAACACAAAAAACAGTTAACATTTTACACATAAGACTTTTCTCTCTAAGTTCAAGTATTATTTACGTATAGAATACAAATGGTCCGTCCATTATTTTTCAACCTAAACTGCGTAGCATAACATTAACACATTTGTACTATATTTATAATATATAAAATAACATTGAAAATACACATTTTATTAAATTAAAAATGTGTTTATATCAATCGTGATTTGTCCTTTTTATTACATGTATATATTTTTTTTTTTATGAGGATAGAAGAATTGGAAGCTGTAAGAACAGTAATAAAAAAGAATTTTGAAGGAAAAAGAGGTAGAGGAAGATCAAAAAAGAGATTGAGGGATGTTATTGAATGCGATATGAGGACAGCTGATGTGAGTAGTTGGGATTAAGGCAAAGAAAAAGAAAAAGATTACCAGAAAATCCGGTGGCAATTGACATAATATGATTGTTGTTTGAGAATGCACAATTTAGCGTTTATTTGAAAAAAAAAATTTGATCTCTGGACTTGTCTTCATGGTGAAAATGACTACCGTATGCAAAAATATGCTATTTTTTTGAAAAAATTCTTGATATTATATTTTACATTTTTTAACATTATGATGCTATAACTTTTTCAAAAATGCATGAATCAATTCTAGTTTTTAATAATAAATACTTTATATATACCTCTTTCATTCGACATACTTTTTTTTTAAATCGGACCTTTTCCCTTTATACAGGGGGATTGCAAACCTTTTAAAATGCGTATAGAAAGTAGAACTTTTTCAACTTAACTTTTGAAATGTTCCGAAAAGACTGACACTTTTATATTTATATATTAAATTAAAGCTTATGTAATATACTTTAATTTAAAAAAAAAAAATTTGACTTCTGGACTTGTCTTCGTGGTGAAAACGGACATCAAAGTTAAAGAAAAACATACGATTTCCGTGAAAAAATTCTCGATTTTATATGTTATATTATTTAATTTATATTTTATATAACTTTTGGAAAAATGTATGGATCTATATTATTATTTTTTTATAATAAATATTGATATACCCCTTTCATCTGGCACGCTTTTTTTGTAAATCGGATCATACCCCTTTAACAAGGGGGGTCAAAACTTTAAACATGCGTATTGTNATATTAAATTTGTTTGTTTCTTTTAAGTCGAGAAAAATAACTTTGAAATTTGAACTAGCTTAAATTGCCCATTTTTTCATCGGTCGAAAGCGATATACGGTTGCCGAGTTGGAAAAACTTGGGTTTCACATATTTGAGGTACGAGGTTCCAACCCGCGTATGGCAATGAATTTTTTCTTAATTCTTTTTAAGTTAGTATAAATTTTTAACTCGTTTGATTTTTATCTCATTTAGATTCAATAACTTCAATAAAGATCAAGGATCCCATCACTTTAGTCGCCCCTTGCAAGAAGAAATTTCTTATTCGTATTAAAATTATTTTACTATATTTTAAGTTTTCGCTTCGATGCAAAGCCGAGAAGATATTTTTTTGTGACTATCATTTATTTTCTCTGCTCTAACTTGACCTACTTTTTTCAACGATACGTCAAATGACTACAATTCGTATCTAGTTGAAGATATTACCCTCAAAAATTGAAAAAAAATTTCAATTTATCAATTAAACAGTTAGTTATTCCATGTTCTCCATAAAATCAATTAAAATCAATCATTTCTAATGTTTTCAAAGTATTTATTGACGAATCAAGTTTGATATGATAGATTTCAATTACAAAATTTAATCATTTTACTTTGTAATTTAATAATTTTTTTACTCTATTTGAGTGTGCTACTACTAGACTATAATATTACAAATTTTTTTGTAACATGTTGCTATATAAATCATTTCTAAAAAAAATTGATTGTTTTTTCTCCTGAATTAACAATTGATTTTTTCAAATATAATCAAATTTTATAATACGCTCAATTGAGTAAATCTTTTTAACAACTTTGTTTTGATTGGTTCATTTAGTTAAAGTAAATCATTAAAATTAATTAAGTTCTGAATATTTCAATTATAGAATCTTTTCAACAAACAACAAAAGTTCCTAGGAAATTATTACTATTACTTCTATTTAAGTTATCTATTACCATAAAAATGCAAAAAAATATTGAGCTTTTCTGATAAATTTACAATAAATAGTAATTATAAAACTTTCTGACTGCATATTGATCTTAACGATACAATTTTTTTAATTGTCATAAAATTTTCTATTTAATTATGTCAATGTCAAACTTACCAATTGAGCTAAAAGTTATGGTAAAATAAATTTTTTTTTTTTATTATAAACATTTACAACAATCAACTTTAAACGATTAAAAAATTAGGTTAAATATGTCATTTTCCTTATTTTTAACTTATTAATAATCAAAATCAGTGTTAATTTAAAACAATTTTTTTTGATCTTAATTATTTTTTTTTATATATAAATACTATTTTTTAATAATATTAAAACTTAAAAGTGATAGAAAAAGTCTAATTGCATATTTATAAACATCGCGAAAAGTTGATTTAGAATAGTATATTTTTGTTTCTGATGGAAGTTCCTTGTAGTCCAGTGTATAAAACTTAT